GTCAGGTTATTCAGGTATGCTCATTGCTCAGGTCACATTTTTATGGACACTTGGCAAATTAAAAAAAACTAACAACCTAATCTAAGCTAACCTGACCAATGTTCACTTTAATGAAAAACAATATCAATTTCTTATCTGTATTCAATGTAAACGCCTTTCGATTATTTCTTTATATAACCCGACTAAACCTACACAACTGCTAGCTATAGGAACTAAGCACCTACCCACTTGTGCCTACGGCTACATCTCATACCATGTCAAAACTCAAAGTAGAGTTGCTTGGTGGAAGATTACCCTCAGTACTTTTTATCACAGCCCTGTGAAGAAAACTAATACTTCTCAGCTCTGAGTCACTGCTGGCCATCCACAGGAAGAAACGCTGAGACTGAGAGCTTTGCCATTGTATATTGGACCAACAATCACGAATCACTATCATGAATGACTATGAACACATCATATGATCAATCAGTGCATGGATTGTCAGTTGTCACATTGACAATTTTATAACAATCCTTTTTTCAAGAAATACAGTAATGATTAACATCAAAATCAACATAAAGTGGATTTAGTGATCCAAGCTTTCTCCTCCAGTTGCAGTAGCAATGGAATGATCGCATGTTTCAAATTGCCAGACACCAAGGCCTCGTCTAACATGTTAACTGGGGGGGCCAAACCCCCGCAGTCACCAGCCTGGCCCCCCCAGTCAGGGCAAAAAGTCACTACTGGGGGGGCCGGCAATAGCGAAAGAGCAAAGGAACTTTTATTGCGAGTCGTTAGCTCACATAAAAACAAACGCGTAAACGACACATGGATGCAATGTGAGCACATTGATATACCCGATTGCCTAGGGTTGTTATCAAGTGTTTATTTTGTTTACCTGAACAATTTTTTCGCTCAGCAATACGTTACATTTCGTCTTTTCAGGCGGCCCAACTCCGTGTCTCGGATATGCTTTTTTATAAATTTAGTCCGAACCTTTTGAATGGATTGATTCACAAGGACAGAGTCCCCGCTAAGCAGAGCTTGTTGCGTTGGCCCTGCCCTCTACCCTCCGATCGCGCAATTCCTGATCTATGGCAGAATTTACATAGAGCCCAAAGTTTAACGTATGCACAGAGCCGTACACGGCCGGTCCCCTTACTGACTTCGACTGACTGCGGCCTGCTACCAACCGCAACTATACTCGCCAGGAGGCTCATAAACATCGAGCGACTCCGCCGCGCTTCGAACCCGGACTGTTATAACCGGGACGCGTGCCCTCACCACGAGCCACGAGGAGTCCAACGCTACCGGCAAAAAAGTCTCCTTTTTTGCCTAGTCTCTCCTATCAATCACGTATCAAATAACTTATCAAATAACGTATCAAATTCTCCTAAATTCTCCTGTTGTTTCTGTCCTCGGGGCGTCAATCTGTTGTTTTTGCCTATCGTCGTCCTCACTATGCGGCGTCCAACTTCTGGCTGGACCATTATAGAGTTCAGTGGGCTGGACGGTTACCGGTGTGCCGTGTGCGGCTAGAGTACATATAGCTTCTAATCGTACTGAAACAGGTTCCCGTTCCGGGTGGTCGTACATAGGCGCAAATTGGTGGTCTGTCTGTGGGGACGGGAACTGACAGCTCTGGGTTATCTAAAGAAGTCGGCATTGAGTCCCGGCACCGGTCCGTGCTTTCCATCCTCAGGACAGTCAAATCCTTCTCCTCCACGCCGCAACCCCCTGCTCCGGGCTGGACAGGCCACTCTAACCCACACGGGAACGGCTCCACTGGAGCTAGCCCGCAGCCGGGTGCAATGAGTGCCAGTTGGCTGGGCGGCCTGTCCGACTGGACAGGTTCAGCCCAGGTGACCCACTGGGGTGCCTGCCCAGACCAATGTCTGTCCCTAATTCCTATCATCCTTCCGGCTCTGAAATGGTCTCGTCAGACCGAAAGGGCCTAACCCAACAAAACAAAAACAAAAATGGAGTCCCGGAGGGCAAATCCCAGTCACTTAAGGTCCCAACGGGCCTCAAATTGCAGTACTACTCGGGGCCCCGATTGTCTCACACTAAAGCCTCTGACGACCTTAAGGTTGTGTCGGAGATCCACGGTGATTATGGAGAATCCATCTGAGAAGCCCTCAGCAGTCAGTCTCCAAGTTGATATACAGGCATTACACTGGTCTGAGGGGGCCCTACGCGGGAAAATACGGTCTCTACTCAGATTGATCTTTAAAAGCCTGGTATGGATCATACAAAACCAGTTTGGTCTACCATAGAGGCTGACGGTGGGTCCAGAAGCTGGAATTAGCCCTCAGAGTTCGGTACCGAGCGCTCAGAAGTCGGCGGGGCCCATTAGAAACCGATGTGGTTCGCAAAAAAAATCTATGCGTGCGGGCCATCGACATGAGGCTCGTCATGAAAATTCCTTAGACGAGGCACTGCCACTCGAACAAACGCTCAACTCCGAGAAGTGTGATTATTACTGTCTAATTGGGTAATGTGAGGAGGCTACAAACTAATATAAAAGCATGGGTCGGATCGTCTACAATTTTTTTTTTTCAGTTTTCAAAAAAAAAATCATGGTGTCAGGGCTGTGATGAAAAATAAGTGGTCTAAATCCGGTGAGAAAACAGGATTTGGGGGTACCCTAGGTTTGGCTAGGTTGTCTCTGGCCCCCCCAGTGAAAATTCCTTAGACGAGGCCCTGCCAGACACTGAGTACCTGATGCACATTACAATCTGCATAGCATCTAAGCATAGTAAAGCTGCCAAGGTCCATTCATTCTAGATTTTTAATTTGATAGTTAGCACTAATTTATCTTGCTGTTGTAAGTTATCATTCAATATTCATACCAAAACATCAATATGCGCTCATCAGTCAACATTTTCTGGCATGATCCTGCTCAGCGTGCTCTTCAGTATTGCTCCAAGATGGCTGCAATATCATAGCTTGTTTTCGGGCAATAAGCTCTTTTGATTTTACTTTTTTACTGATGTATGAGCCCGATCAACTTGCGTTTATCAAACAAAATTTCATAACTTCAAGTTCAACTTCATATTGATATTGCTCAGGAGTCAGGACCTCTGTCAGCCTCCTGGATACTTCAGATTGTTTTCAGTCACATGCTTCTTAAATATGATATAAGTCAATCTTTAGGGATCCAAAACATCCAACAAAACGACGTACAAGAGTACGGAAACCACCAAGGGGTGTTCACGGGCACCGCACACTGCTGCGTGCGGTGTGTGCGGTACGTCCAGCAGGCGTGGGGGTAGGGGATGGGTAGGCGGTTCTGACGTCACGGCTGCGTGCGGTGGACGGTCCGCTGTGGCCAGTCCCGACCGGCCACAGCGATCGCTGTGTGCGGTGACGGAATGCTGACGTAGGGACGCGGTGGGCGGAGCTTCGAGGCTGTGTGCGGTCCGACCGCACACAGGGTCCGTGAAAAGCCCCAGATAAACTTGAAAAGCGCCTTGGAACAGAGCCAAGTGGTGCTCCATTTGTTTGTTTACAATAATTGTAGTGCTGATATATTTTCAGGACTCTGAAGGTCGGCTTATAAAAATGAAACGTTTTTACAAAAGTTGTAAGGCAAGTAATATTTATCTGAAAGAACTAAAATATTCAAAAGCCAAACACTATGTAATACATGAATCGGAACGAAAAAGTAACCCAAAAATCCAGCCTAATCACCGGCTCCTAAAACTGCAACAAAATCAGCACTTTTCCCCGCAACTGGTTGTCCACACGGTATATAGAGAACTAGTATCGGGGTTACATGAGCACAGTAAATACGTATTTAGCCGCTAATTCGAATTAGGAACGCATTACCGACTCATGTAGCCACCTGCTAGTACGAATCGGCGATCCGATCCGCGGTTACATCATACATGAGCAAAGCAAATACGTATCACGATCGGATTCACCGCTAATGCGAATCAGGAGCGTACTACCGACTCATGTATCCACCTGCTAATACGAATCGGCGGTCCGAACAAAATCCGCTGAGAAAGAGGCTTAGAAGCGAATAGGACCAAGATACGTATTACAGGAACTATTTCTTCGCAAAAAGAAACATTAAAATGCAAAATAATAGGTATTTTTTTCATTTTCTTCTTTTGAAATAATATTAAAAAAATATGTCGGTATTTTGCCAAGTTTTCAACAATAAATATAGTGAAAACCAAATAGTAAATATCCACATAATTTCAGTTGAAACATTTTTCTGACAGCACTACAGACGAATCAAGAGAGGCAATTGCCCAATGAGTCAAAGCAAGACAACTTTATGTTCAACTTTTTTTTGTTAAGTTAATTGAGAATGTTTTGAGCAGATTAAATGCAAAAAAGACATAAGATAATAAATTTTTAATATAGTCACCTCTATTGCTACGGAAGTGCGCCACATTTGTATGCTATTCCGTTTGTAATGCGCATCGGGCCGAGAGCCAAACTAGATCCGTTTGACGTCACTGATACGAATTTGCTCATGTAGTCGGTGCACTGAATGCGTTCTTGGGGAGCTGATGCGAATTAGCGTAGTGCGTATTCGGAACGGATCGCTCATGTAACCGAAACGTCCGAGGCACACGATTCGGGCCGTATTTCACAAGAACTATTCTTTGCTGACTGGAAGCGTCAAAATGCAAAATACCTAACAATTTTTTTTTATTGGCTGCCTCGTAGAAAATAGGAAAAAAATGTTGGTATTTTGGTTTAGTCTTTGCATGTGAAATAAAATGAATGAAATATTTTGATAGATAATTTTTTCTGACCACCCTGCTGTCGCTGCATGGCGAATCAGTGCCCACTGACTTAAAACAAGAAAACTTTGTTTTCATTTTTTGATTTCATGTTAATTTAAAATGTTTTTGAGCCTATCAAATGATATAAGTATTTAAAATTTAGCTCAGTCGTCCCGGTAAATGCCACAACTGCGCCATGACTGTACGCTAATCCTATTCCGTTTGTGATGCGAATTACCGGCCGTCGAGGAGTCAGCCCGGGTGAGCCAAAGAAGATCCGTTTGACGTAGATAAAACGAATTAGTCTCATGTAACCGGTGCCGTAGATCCGTTTGTGGGGAGCTGATGCGCATTAGCGTAGTGCGTATTTGGAACGGATCGCTCATGTAACCCCGGTATAGGTAAAACCGGTTTGCCGCCACAACACTAAGGTATTTTAACCACTTTTTTCAGCTGGCCTTCTCAGTCCAAAAAAAGAAACTAGGCCACGTATCTTTATGTGTTTTATTATTTATATATAAATTGGCAATAAACGTGCACAGGGCAAGAATAGCGTAACTCTGTAAAGTATTTGCGAAGATAATTTTTTGACCGACCACGCCATTTCGAAAATAATATATCTTTGGTTGTAGGAGTTTGTTATTGATGAAATCATATTTTTATCCTTAAAAATTAAAATTAATAGTAAAAAAGTATTATCAAATGCCAATACTGTTTCATTCAATTTCGAAACCACCAAGCTCAGCAAATGGCGGGCCCACCTGACCAGCCAACGTTTTACCACAAATTCTCGAATAAAATCAGTTGTATAGGTTGTAAATCATGATTGAACAATATCAAAATTGAATTATCTTTCCGATTTTATGTGTTATTTCATTTGTTCATGCTCAAAACTAGAATAAATCGATGTTGAATGTAAAACCACCTTTGGTGATCTTGGTCACACTGTTTCACTGGATGTAATGGTTTTCAAAAACAAGACCGAGTCGGCGTCTGAAACGTTCACCAAAATATGCAGAAATGCTGACATTATAAGGTGTCAAAGTATCAAAGCTCATCTAATGGGGGAACATTGTCAATTTTGCTTCCGAATCCGAAAGTTGGCATTTTGGGTACCAATCAACTCCGAACAAAAAACATAGATGCTCGGTAAACATGGTGGTGATGGATTCGCAAAAGGTCTTAATCAAAATGAAAATTTTATTTTCTTCCCAAGTATGCATGTTTTATTGCAGTTTCGGTGCTATAAGTTACATATTTTTGGTCTATAATGTATCAGCCTCCTTGCTGTTTGAGGTCACACTGTAACAGTTAGTGGCATATTACTAAAAAATAAGACCGAGTCGGCATCTATTGAGGGTACTATATGTAACAGAATTTAATTTTCTATCTGATGTTATAAGTTTCAAAACATGACTAATGGGGGAACATTACGAAATTCGATGTTAAAAACTGCTGACCACGATTTTACACCCACAGCTGCTCACGGTTTCGTGTACTGCAAATGCTGCTAATATAGTTCTGACGCTAGCAGACGCACGTTTTTGCATTCAATTGGCTGCCACGGTGTTCCATGTGATGATAGAGAACATCCCTGGTTTTCGACCTTTCTGTGTTGTGTATATTTGTTTATTAGGCACATTTCAATTCAAATTTGATTTTGGTTCTCTCACTTCTGCCTGGGTCTTGGAGTTGTGGATATATTTTGTGGAGCGTGGAGCATCGGAGATTTGTGGAGTATTGGATTGGCCTGGTGTCAGTATTCTTTGGTGTTTTTTTATAGATATTTTCATAGGCTACAATGCCACCAGGAAGACCACTGACCAAGACCAAGACAGTGCTCATGCCCGAATCATCGGCAACACAGGATGGCAAACTTCGCCTCCCCTGGCTTGTATGAAGCCTTGATTTCCATTTAAGGAAGTAAGTCTGTGCCCAAATGGATGATGCACGTGTTGGGCATTTTTGCAAAACAAAGAGGTTGAAAGGGTTCATTTGCCGAGGCTGTATGGAGTACGCCAAGCAATGTCATGCTGATGGGGAGACGTGAGTATGACAATGAAACAGACTACAATTCTTGGCGAAAGGGCTAGCAAAATGCATCATTGAGTTTGACAATTCTGTACCAGTCATTGTCAATTAAGCTGGAAATCTGGGTAACTGTAAAGCTGGGGTCACCGTCAGCATATAGGTATCAGTCGGGCAAGCTGCAGGGAGGTAATCTAAAATAAGATTAATCTAATATAAGAATATGACGTCACCCAAATGGGCTGAGTGATGACCATATAAGGAGTGATGATCAATATTTAGACTATATTTCCGACATGTCCACATTTGAACCCTCCACAATCATCGAAGAACTGCTCATAACCACAATATTTTTTGTTGACTGACAGACAAAACATGATCCTACAAATTGTGAACTGGCCAGCTCATTTGAGATTGGAATTTGTCACTGGTGACCAAGATATTTGGGTATTAGTAGAGCAGATGTTACACAGAGGTTTTACAACTGAGGAGAAGTGCTCTTATGCTTCTTGCTTCCAGAGATGCTTCTTTTTAACACCAAACCAAACCTTACCTGACATAATCTAACCTACAAGTCAGCATACAACCTAAAACCCTACAACCTACAAACCTACAGCTGTGCCTCTCCTTGGTTGGAAACCCTTCCTATGAGCATCCTGCTCTCTTTGTCTATTTATCTACTTGGTAAGCATAAGCGCCTTCATTTGACATCTGCTCTACTAGTGCCGTTAATTTTAATTTGTAACTTAACCAAACCAAACCTAACCTAACCCAAAGCCTGCTCATAACTGTGATAAGTTGCAGTCCTAACTCCTAACATCACTTTGATTCTCCTCAGCCAATTACATCAAGAGGGAGACCACACTGACAGGGGTCCAAGATCCAACTCAGGCCCTTTTTGTAAGTGTGGATGTCCTGACCTGTAGCCAGAAGCACTGCCACTGGAGCACAGCAGCTAATTCCCTATCTTCCTTCCAGCTCCACAATGGTCTGCATTTCTGCAATGGTCTCAACAGGCCTAACTGAACACAAAAGGCATTTTCACTTGTTAACAGTTTAAGACTAATATTATTCTAAAAACAGTTGTACAGCAATGTATAATGAAATAGATATACGGTGTATATGAATAGAATTAGGTTTGCTGAGACTTGTACTTTATGAACTTGAACAGTGAACACTAGAGTAACTAATTCAACTATTTCTTGTTATTCAGACTGCCCGCCAGTGGACGGAGGCCCGGCGACGGACGCTGGCTCAGTGGCCAACAGTGGTCCGCCAGCCGGCTGATGGTGGCTCGCCGACCGACGCCGGCCCGTCGGCTGACCACGGCATTCCGGCTGATGGTGGCCCGCCAGCCGACGGAGGTCCGCCGGCCATTCGTGGCACGCCCGCTGACGGCAGCTCGACGACACGTCCTGGCTATGCCACCCCCAAGATTACTTCGCCCCCCAGTCCATAGGTGAGTGGCTGGAGAGTGGAGAGAACTTTGTGTGTTGCCGGGACGGGATGTCTGCTAATGCAGATGCCGTTGCAGGGGTCGTGACGTATGATGGGTCTCAGACTCGGACCTCGACTTTTGAGTGAGAAACGTATAAACAGGCTAATGTATTGCAATTATGGGCGATGGCTAAGTGTGCGACAGGAAACGCTATGAGCTATGAGTTATCGTCGCCGTGGCGGAAATTTGAGGACCGTCGCAACCTGTGACGTCGCCGTGACTGCTAATTGACGGTCGCCTTGGATCGTGTGTAACGGTCACTGTGCCTGGTATGTGACGGCCGCCGTGATTGTTTATATAACGGCCGTCGCGACTGAAACGTGACGGTCGTCGTGAGACCTGACGTGAGACCTGACGTGTCGCTGTGTCACAGGTCACCAGTTGCGGGCGCTTCATCTGACAGTGTCGTCCGACGGCTCCACGGTGACCAGCGCCGCCACTGCGGAAACCATCCGACCCCGAAAATGCTGCTAGCCGTACACGAACAAAGGGCGCCGGGCACCCAGGACCAGCGCCCTGCTCCGAGGCGGTGTCCAAAGAAGGCTGCACAGTGCACTTGCTGTGCTAAGGCATAGTGCGCGCTGACTGATAGGAACAAATGACGGTCAGTTATCAGATTTCAGTATGGAACTCAAGATGGTCGGAGCCGACCTGGCTCGGTGGATGGTGTGCCAGGGTTGATTAAGTGTCGAAAGGAGTGAGACGCCCAGATATGTGAAGGATACGTCGATACGAGCCCCGGCTTCGACTCCCCGTCCCAAAACGATGTTGGTTGTGATTGGAGGATTCCCCCACCCCCACCCCCACCCATCCCGGAATTTGTGCTATGTAATAGGACGATAATATGTCGTGGTCTCATTCTGGCTCGATATGGTAATAGGTACTTAATTGGACAGATGCTGATGGTATTGGTGGTGGATGTAAATGGCAGGTTTGGCGAGCGCGAATTAATAATCGTGAGTGCACTAGCTGCAATCAGTCGCGCGCTTATTGCTGAGCACCTGTGAGCAAGAAAATTATATGAATGTGGTAGTTCGTCGTGAAATCTGTGTACTTTTGGATTAAGCTGTCAGAACATAAGTGTATTTTTGCCGTGTCCACTGCAGCTCTGAAACAGAAACATGGAGATCGGCTGTGTGCTGTAGCTGCGGGGACAAGAAGTCCGCGCGTGCAAAAAATCAAAGGTGATATGTGAATTTAAGTGAATATACCTCGCTATATTTTCAATTTTATTATTACAACAAATGCGTCGACTGCTGATTACCCTCGGGTCCTAACAATAACGTTTGCAATACTGGAAAGTACATAGACAATTGATACCCTTGCGACCGACTGGCGCGATCCGAGAATCTCTCTCACTGTTTTTGCTGACCTACACACGAAAACACGGCCGCATAGCTACCATCGAGAGCACGGAACGATGCTGGTGACTGACGGACCAGCGAAAATAGAGCTCCCGTCTACTCGCGGAACAGCGCTGATTGGCGCGGCTCACAGACTCCATTGGCTCATCAGAGTTCAGACTGTTGACGGTTGTTGCTCCTCCCTCCCCTCCCCGAGAGGGCGTAGCCAAGTAGCTTAGTTGTGTGCGCAGCGGGCGGTCTTTTTGCATCTGTGTAACAGTTGAGTGGATGGTATCCAGACGAGCTAGGCGTCGGCGTCGCCCTTCCAGCGGCCGGGCAGCGCAGGTGGACGTGCCGCGGATGGTCCGCCTCCGATCTCGGCACACTCTGCAGAGTGCGGCTGGACGCTCCACGGAGTTGCATAGCGTCGATAGGCCGTATGGTGTCGCTGTCGTAATTATAAAAGCGTAAGTAGAAGGTTGAAGCAATATAGAATGCTATCTTTTTCGAGCTTTGTTGCACATAATTTAGTAGGTATTGGCCGTTTCTTTACAAATAATATCGCAAAGCACAGCTGGTAACGATATGTGCGCGTCGGTTGCGGCGGTAATCGTCGAAAAAATATATAATTTATGAACGTTTCTTGATCATTGAATGAAAAACGTGGCGATGTTTGCCTGTTGTGAAGAAGACTCCTATACTGCCGCTCTATCGTCCGGAATTATTTGTGTTTGATTACGGGGATTCCGCCACTCTATCAGCTGATTTTTGTTTCCGAGTCACGTGACCAACCGGTGTCTCCCTGGTTGTCCAGACGTAAATATGCTGCCGGACACGGGTAGTCGGCTCGGCGGGTCGCCCTACTGACCTGGCCTGACGTGAGCTGCCGAACCACCCCGCCTCAAATTTATGGATACACAGTCACAGTCTTTGATCAGAGCTAATGTGAAATTCGAAATCATTATCCCAATTACCAGAAGCCCCAAGAACGACCTACCCTCCTTTCTAGTGTGCCCGGCATTCCCTTTACCGTATCAGCTAAAAAACTTCATATGGAAGCCTCTTCATAGGAATCTGGTTGCATGTTCGATAAACGCCTGCGCAGATGTTTCAATCAGAGCGCACACGTCAACAAAGTTTTGCTTTATTTCAGTGCCTTGATTTCAGTCAAGCTTTGAGTCAAGTTTTCATTTTTCATTTTCACCCTTGTGTGTGAGTTGGACGCAAGAGCCAAGCCGCTACGCGCCCTAACCCAAAATAACAGCAACAACAGCCTTGTGTGTGAGGTAGGTGGCTTAATGGCAATAATCAATGGCAAAAATCGTCAATAATGGCCAGGCGATTATTGCCAGTGGCTGGGACTGGGACTTGGAGGATGACAGGAGTGATACTCTTTTCTTTTCCTGTTCCTAACAACTCAGGGACGACGGTGAAAACAGGGCGCCTGGGGCGATTTGATCAAGGTTCGTGAAATAAGCACGTGAAGTTTAGGATGTAAAAGGCCCACGGAGGGGAAGAAGTTCCAATACCGAAGTTCCAAATGTCACGTGATTAATATGCCCTCCGGCGCCCTGTTGTCACCGGCGTCCCAACTCAGTTGGGGAATCTACGAGGTGCCGAACTAAAATTTGATCAGCCAATCAACGGCTGGAGTGGGCGGGGCAATGACATAATTCATAAAATAAATAATAAAATCATAAAATCATATGGTCATAAAATCAGGAAACTTCATCTTTTCCATGCATCCTAGCATTTCAATGAAAAAATAAGGCATAAGACTGTTTTTAAACCACCCAAGTGAAGTTTGCAATCCACTGACAAGCTAAGTTCCCTATCACTTGTCAGTTATCGCTGTTATGCCTGCTATGGATGTCAGGAAATACAAGCTTAGTAATTAGTATCCTCATGTCAAGCAAGCACAATAGTAAAACACCTCCTTTCACTTTTCTGTGCACCATTGTCTGAACATCAATAAGGAAAATTTGTGTGACCATATTTATAAGCTGGTTTCTTTTTCCTTAGGACAGGAACAGATTAATTCCATGACACATTCTATTGCAAATATCATCAATAGCCTCTGACCTTTAAGCTCTGACCCGGCAGAACCCGGCGAGGCTGAAGCCGCAGCCTCCCGCACCTCCGCCACTGTGGATCTGGATCTGGAACGGACACCGAGTCGGCAGGCCTCAGAGTCTGCCATGCAGGACTGGAGGAACGCTATCTTTAACCCACCGCCGTCGGCCTCGTTCACGTATAAAATGGGTGAGTGGATGCCTGCTGGATGGACTGTGAAGTTTTTTTTTTAACTTGACTAGTAATGTTGTGAATAGGTTTGTCAATGTAGCATCCTGTTGTGATCTACTGTATGATACATTGCTACTACTGTGCAGTAAGTGGTGTAGGTGATTTGCTTTGAGTTTTTGTTTTTGGCTGTTTTTTTCAATCATTCCTACCTCCATTCAATATGTAAATGGACTATGGAGTTTGTAAAACGGAGAACATGAGATATTTAGACCACTAAGACAAACGTAATTCCGCAAAGATACCGGCCGATCGTACTAACGCCTTGGTACTGACATCGGATTTGTGACCTGCCCTGCCATCTGGTGCCGCCCGCAGGTAACTCGACGGTGCGACTGCAGAGCCGCCTGGTGGTGGCGCTGGGAATCATCGGCGGTATCGTAGTGTTGTATCTTATGCTCCAGCGCAGCTCTGGTGGAATGACTGTCGCTCAAACTGTCTGGGGGAAGTCGGCTCAGACTAGGTAAGCGAATGGTTTATATTATTGATAAGCACCAGGTCAAGAGGGTAGAAAACTGGTCATAGGAATGGTAGCAGTATCACATTGTCGATGTACAGTCGATATCAATGTACAATGATGCATGAGCAGTATCGATACATTAGTTGAAACTAGGGTTAGCGAAATCATTGATCAATGCGAAAAAGGTTGAGGTTTTGTGGAACGTATTGATACTTCAGTGCTACAGGATGTCGTGCAGTAAAGTATATCGATGCTAAACAGGTGGCTAGGAATGATTTAAAGGAGTACTTAAGAATGGTTTTAACTTGTAAATCTGTTTTTCACCTCGCTCACTCCCCTCGACTCTGAGCACCAGAAGGAATTCTTCACAACGGGCCCTCCCTCTCCATTTCAGGTGTAACAGCAGCTACCCCCTCTCACACCCACTACCAGGCCGGGGCGGCATGGGCTCCCGCTACCGTATCGCCGTCATCACCGACCTAGACCAGGCCTCGCGCCGGGAGTCGAGCTGGATCAGTCTCCTGCGGCACGGGTGGTTGGAGTGGCACCACCGTCACGACGGGCGACCCCCGGCAGCGGAGGTGACGTGGGATGAAGAGGATGTGACGGTGAAGTCGTCACTGGCAAATGTGAGTCGTCTGGAGGGGAGGGGGGGGGGGGGGGGGGGTAGAAACCGAGGGAATTGTGTTGGAAGGAGAAAATCCATAAATGAGGAAAGTGTAACCAATCCGTTGCTGAAAATGCAAGGTGTGGTTGGTGTGAGGATCATCCGTGTTTGTTTGATTTTAGTAAAACACTAGAATAAATCACATAACTTGTGTTTTACCAGAAAAGTAGTCGCACTTAATCGTGTTTGTGTTGATTCTGGATTGAATTAGATGTTGCATGAAAATAGAAAGATGATTATTGTGTATCTGTGTCAATTGAAGCACTATCAATTATGATTCTCCTAACTTAAAAGCCTGTTCAGGGTGTCATTTTTATCTTCAACCCTCCTCATCTCATTGATCCAACGCTCAGCAACGCCCTCTGACCCCCAGGTAGGTCGTACCATGGACCACCTTAGTACACTCTCTGTGATCTAACCCTGTGTGGGTCTATGACGTTTGGTACACCCTCTGACATCTCTCCCTCTGCCACCCAGGCGGTCGCGCCATGGAGCTTTCGGAGCTGGTCTCGTTCGGCGGACACCTACTTTCTGTCGACGATCGTACTGGGTGGTGTACCAGCTCTCCAATGGAAAGGCCGTACCCTGGCTAATTCTGGCAGATGGGGATGCCAAGTCGCCAAAGGATTTAAAGGTGTGTGGGTTAGCTGTAACCT